CTGGGTCCGGGATATGTGATATGTGATCTTATCTGCTTTAACCATGTGCTTTATGATTTGTACGATTATGTGATATGGGATTTGAAATACGATTTGAACTCTGATTTGAATTTTGATTTGAATAATTCTGTCATATGAAATGAATTCAGTTCTTCTGTATCAATTATTTGATTTCTTTTTTATTATCTGTTTTGTACGCATATCTATATTCTGTTTGATTGTATGAGTTTCTGTACGATTATCTGAATTTTGTACGGCTACTTGAATAAACTATTTTGATGATTTTGTTGTGAGTTTCTAGAGATTTTGATTGGCTAGTGTAGTCTTGCTGAGCTGTTAGCTCATCATTGTTATCTGCATGATTTTAGGTTATGGGAAAGGGAATGAGATTTTTGATTAGCCATTCAGTGTCTGATCTGAGATTAGATTTTTTTTTTGTACTTTTATTTTTGTACAGTCATGACTTTTCTGTTATGTTATGTACTTTCTACTTAGAGTCATGCACTGTATTGTACATGATTATTTTGATGAAAGAAAGAAGAAAATCATGGATGAACTTTTCTGTATATTTAGATGTTTATAGTAGCTCTGTGATTTCAGTATGTTTGATTATTAGAAGAAAGTCTGAAAGCAAATTCCAAAGTTAGATCCTGGATTCATTCGTCACGACTCGACGAGACGGGATTCGTTCCGATCGGATTGGGTCGTGACATATATATATATATATATGGCCTAGCACCGTAGTGCTCACCAGACTAGCGCCAAAGTGTTTTACTTAAAAATTTTCATATTTTTTTTTTAAAAAAAATCACATATTTGAGTTATTTCAATCTCCCCACCTTTGAAAAGTTTCATCCTCGACATTTCTTTATTAGTTCGAGAGAGAGAGAGACAGAGCATGCTCAAAATAAAATTTCAAACTCAAATAAATTAATTATAAATAAAAAATCACATTTTTTATTTCACCCATAAGTTTTAGTTATATTTCAATTATTCCAATAACCATTGCTCTGATACCATTTTGTCACACTTCATGATCTATATTGAAAGAATTACACCAGTCTTTCATTTTAACCATTTTACAAGAGCTTATCAATGAACAGCGGGAAGAAACATGATTGAATTTTTGTCCTATTTGGAGCATGATATCATAGGATCTTTGCTGTTTCCTGAAAACATGTAAGACAACGTAATGAACATATATGAAAATGTATTTTTGGTAGATTTATGGGAGATAAATTTGTAGAAATCAAAATCAATTAAAACAGAAGTAAAATATTAGTCACTTAAAATAAATAGAATAAATTTTTTTACAAGAATGTTTGACAAATATGTTCCAAAGGCTTTTCTCTCTCCTCTCTTCTTCCAATTTTTTCCTAGCCAAACAAGCAAGTGAGGGAGTCGGTGATGTGAGACAAGGATATATATATATATATATATACTCTTCATGGCCTAGCACCGCAGCGCTCTACTTCAGAATCTTTATATTTTTTAAGAAAATTTATTTCAAATATTTGAGTTATTACAACCTCTTCAGGCTTAGCCAATTGTGAAGTTCACAATCTCTACAAGTTAAGTAGATTCACCCTTTATATCAAGATAATCGAAGGACTACATCCAAGAGGTTGCTAACACCATCAAATAATTCGTTGAGAGTATTCCTTCTGGTTTGAACCATTTGAGGATTCACCTCCATCACCTTGCCCATGATTACTCGTCATAAGGGAACCGAGCTCAGACCAAGGAGTTGGACCAAATAGCAACGTAAGACAAGTGTTTAGGGTAGTTCATATGGAGTTTTATTTCTTATTGTACTTTTTTATCTTTTTTAATATATTATTCCTAGTGATCCTTGAATCCCCATAAATAAAAAGTGAAGAGACACACATTGAATATTTTGCAATTTTTGAAAGTACTATTGAGCTGGTGAGATACTTAATACGTTATCCGAAATCACATTTATCGGACACGAATCTTGGGGAATATCCAAGTGCAAAACTTTTAAAATTAAATTCATGGACATTGGAACTCCAATTTAAGTGAACTTATAGTCAAAGTGAACGTCTCAAAGAGATAATTCGAACAACATCAAAATCGGTCCAATTTGAGCCCAAATTGGTCCAAATAGGGGGCCCGAAGCATATTTGGAATGTTTAAGATATAAATTGGAGGACCAAATAATATACAAATATAGCATGCTTATAGTTGAATCCAGCGGCTCGACCAGATGAATCAAATGAGCCTAATATTGTTCAATTTTGACATCATTAAGGCATATATAAACACTTGAAAAATGCTCTACAATCGAGGGGATCAATACGAGCCATTTGATGGAGTACTCTGCGTTTATCACTATTTTTCTCCATATTTATGCGGCATGTCATTAAGGAATATACACACACACACACACACACACACACACACACTCACTCACTCTCTACATGAAGGAGACATTTTGGTTAGAGATTTAAGAGAACTTTGAGGCTTCAAGGGCTCCAGCACCACTGCTAGCGAATCTGCGTCGACGGACAACCACTCGACCGCCAACCATAGTCGGACTTCTGCTTAACCATCGTTAGACCACCACTAGACTTCTGCCTGACCATTGTCAGACCACGGCCGAACTTCCACCCATTTGCCGATCGCAACTGGATTTCCACCCTACCATCGTTAGACCACCACCCAACCATCTTCGGAGCACAACCTGATCACTGACTACCGTCAGACTTTCACCGGGCCGCCAACAACCGTCGAACTTCCACTGACCACCAATAGCCGCCGGACTTCCACCGACCGCCAATAACTGCCAGACTTCCGCTCGACCATCCTCGGGGACCACCAACTGTTACCGGATTTTCAACCGGCGGCTGACCGACACTGGACTCCAGCCCGACCACTGTCGGATCACCACATGTTAGCCGAACTTCTACCCAAGTGCCATCAAACGTCCACCTGATCGCCATCGGACTTTCGCTCAACTCTCCAAACTACTATAATCCCACTATCTCTAGGTCAAGCGATGAATCAACCTTTATAATTCGCTCAAACTTAGTAGAATATTTTCACTTCGACCAGACCCTGTAGTTTTTCCCTCTTTGGATTTTTCATGAAAAAATATATTGTGTTTTACTGCTCTTTCTCTCGCTTAAATCATATATTTGTGCGTTGGATATTCATGTATCGTTAAGATGAAAAATTCATCACGAATACTTTAGCCGGCAACAAATATTTTTTCTCCTCCTAATACTCTATCTTCGGATTCCCGCCTCTTGAGCTAATATATATAACTTATTCATAAAATTGAATCCAACATATGTATTACATTATTATAAAATTTTTAGCTTATGGTAATTATGGAGAGAAATGATAAATTTAACCCTTACAAAAACACTTCTTAGATATGGAATGCCGACACTCAAAATAGTGATAGCGATACATATCTGATGATTTAGGACCCGACAAAGCCAAATCTAAAATGTAAAATGCAATTGGGACAATTTCAATTTTAAATGTTTCCTTCGTCAAAATGCTGTATTTGACGAACATGCTGATTTGTGTATTGAAATAGACTCATCGGAAGCTCGCCGTTTTATGTGATCAGATCGTCTAAGACGACTCTCTATAATCTTATCTTCCAGTGGAGCTACTCCAACCTTTTCACGGATATGCTCATTTCAAATTCGTCTAAGTTCAAAAAACGGACTTAAATAAGTAGTCGAGATTAGCAAAGCTTACTTTTAACCTTAAATGAACTTTTAAATATATATTTTATAAGAAAATAAATAATGGTTAATGAATTATGCGTATTATGAGACATAAAATTTCGCAAAAGTTGGTATAAATTTTGAAGCCCGTCTTGATCTAAAAATTGGTCAAGATGTCCTGACCTAATTTTCTTCCCTTCCCCATAGATCTGAAACTATCAATAGATCAATAAACGAAAATCATACCATTTGATTTCAATTTGTGAGTTTATTAAATAAAACTATTACTATAGATTCCAAAGTTCAAATCATGCCATGTTCTAATATAAAATTATTATTATTATTATTATTATTATTTTGCTATGTTAAGTTGATTTTTATTGTGCTTTCTGTTTTGTTTCTTAAAGCAGCTTCTAAGCATAAAAATTTTATTTATAGTACTAAAAAGCTGCTTTAAGTTGCAGTAAGAAAGTCGTCCCAAACGAACTCTTAGGCTTCGTTTGGAATGATTTTTTTACTACTTCTTAAAGCAACTTTTTTAAAAAGCAATGAGAAAGTTTATTTCGGACGGCTTTCTTACATTAATAAAAGATATTTTGATTAATAAAGTTTTAAAATTTTGAAAAAATTCTCATAAAACTAAGTGTGTAATTAATTGCCTTATTTGAATAAATCTTTATAATATTCAATTAAATTGTTAATTATAAAATATATCTTATTATGCTTATAATATATCTTATTAAACTAATTTTCTTAATTATCATCTTCTGTGCCCATTCCCTTAAAAAGGCAATGGAGGATCTGTTTGTCTCCATTAGATTTAAGTGAGCAATGCTCCAATGGAGTGTCCGCCTTCTCTTCATTTAGTTAATTTTCTTTAAATTTTACTTTATCTATTTTATTTTATTTTTTTGTTTTCAATTTTTTTTTTGGAATGAGATATTCATCCGCTGCAACCTCCGAAAGGGTGTTTGACGGCGTGACTAATCTTCAGTTGACTTAGAAGAGACACTCACCTCAGAAACCTTCTGGTCCGCACTTAATTGAGCCCCGCTTAAAAAAAACGGCGGATTGAGAGATTCCAAATCGTGCTTACCTATTAATCAAACTAAGCATTAGTAGGTCTTGTATCAAAATTTAGTATATAACTATATAGATGACATCAACGAAACATGTACTGATGCACAGGCCCCTCACATTTAAAACTCAATTTTTACTTCTCCCTCGCATCCAAAACTCGATTTTTTAGCTCCGCCAACCACCCCATGACCCACGAACTTCAATAAGATCCTTGGTTGGACCTTCTTGTTGGCACTCTACAACTCTCCCAAGGAATGCCGCTTCCCTTCACCCTCCAATCTTCTCCCAACTCAGAAAGTTCTCAGCTTTCTACTCTTCACTTTCACTTCAGCAATGGCGACTCATCCTTCCTCTCCCCAGGAGATCCGGCACCGCGTAAACCATTTCCTAACCAAGCTTTCCGACCGCGATACCGAAGCCATCGCCGTTGCTGAACTCTCTGCCATTGCCCGTAGTCTCACTGCCGACTCTCTCGTCCCCTTCATCTCCGCCGTAGGCGACGCTCGCCCCACAGATAAAACCCCTCTCCGCCGCCACTCCCTCCGCCTGCTCTCCCTCCTCGCTCGCTCCCTCCCATCTTCCTCCCTCTCCCCTCATCTCCCCCGTCTCCTCGCTGCTGCTCTCCGCCGCCTCCGTGACCCTGATTCATCTGTCCGCGCCGCTCTAGTGGATGCCGTACGCTCCCTTGCTGCCATTACTCCGGCTGCCGCTCTCGTTTCCACCCTCCTCCGCCCCCTCGCCGACGCCCTGTTCCATGAACAGGATATTCACCCCCAATCCGTTTCCGCGCTTTCCCTCTCCGCAGCCCTAGAAGAATGCAACCGCGAGGATAGCGAAGAGCTCTCCTTCTTTCTACAACGTCTAGTCCCGCGCCTGGTGAAGCTCGCTCGGAGTCCGGCATTCAAGGCAAAGCCGGCTGTTTTGGCGCTTCTCGGAAATATAAGTCTTGCTACCTGTGGGATAGGAGATCCCGAGCTAGCGGCGCTGGTTAATTGCCTTGTTGAGTTTCTCGGACACGAGGACTGGGCGGCTCGGAATGCTGCTGCCATGGCGCTTGCTCACCTCGCGGCGATGGAAAAGGAGCGACTTTGCAGGTTTAAGCAATCTTGCCTTGCGACTTTTGAGGCCCGGCGATATGATAAGGTTTGATTCTCTCTTTATCCCGATCTATTCATCTCGTTCTTGATCTGGAAGAGTTTGTGTAATGCAGGTGAAGGTCGTGAGGGATTCGATGAAACGGATGCTGGAGGCGTGGAAGGACATCCCAGAGGAAGACCTGGATATGCCGAAGCCACTATCTGAATCACAGTCGAGCTCTTATCTCAAAGGTGTAACTTTTTAGCCTTCTTTCACAATTTGGGTGTTTGTGTTAGTTTAGATCTCTGAATTTGTGCTAATTGTGAATTGAACAGAGACTGGCAATGATAGAAGATGCCAAGCTACTTCAATTAATAGTTCTTTATCTGCTTCCAAAAAGATAAGAATTCCCAACTGCAGATCACCGCCGAATGCAGTAACTCCAATTGGTACTGCAAAGAAGATTGTGATTGATCAGAGGAAAAATTCAAGAATGATTGATCAGAAGAAAAACTCAGATTGGAGAGTTGAGATTGCTGATGCTCCTTCTTGCAAAGCTGAAAGTGAGAATAGCGTGACAAGTAAGGAGAGGGGTTTAAAGAGTTGTCAGCAAGAGAGATCTGATAGCAATGGAAGATCTAGATTGGAGGTGAAGAGGGCGCTTTTTGAGAAGAATTGGGAGGATAAAAAGATTGGTAGCTTGAAATCTGTCTCTCGGATTGTGCCATTTGAGGAGACTGGAAAAGAGACGATGAATGAAACTACTGTGGCCACTGAAAAGTTCCATGGAGAGCAGAAGGATGGTGATTTTTCTTTGATCCGGATGCAGTTGGTTCAGATTGAGAACCAGCAGTCCAGCTTACTTAGCCTCCTCCAAGTAAGATTCTCTCATTTAACACTAGAGCTCTTGTAGATGATAAACTTGTTTTCTGAAACGGTGATTTTGTTTTGAAAATATTTTAGAATATGGTGGTGAGATCTGCGATGCTTTTTTATAATTGACTGGATCTAATATATCTACTCTTCTAAGTGGGTCATCGGAAGTAGAAATTATTCTGTGCGGACACCGGACTTTCTGGAGGCGAATCATAATTCACCACATCACCCGTTACACAACAAATGGGTGATGTGGCCGTCTCCGGACGGTGTCCGTATCCGTATAAAATAATTTCACCATCAGAAGACTGACATTTGAAGTGATCAAATCATCTAAGGTGATTCTCTCTAATTAAAAAAAAAAAAAAAAAAAAAAAGTTTATTTTTAATGAAAAAATTTTTAAAAAAAAAAAAAAAAAAAGTTTATTTTTAATGACAAAATTTTTAAAAAGAAACAAAAAGTCTATAGCTAAAATCAAGTGTGACAATTGTCGAAAATGAAATTGTAAACAAACTATCTAATATGGATCATAAATGGAGAAATCTAACATATTTTCTTACTTCAAACATCTAGTTGAGTCCTTAGGCAAGTCTTACTTTAACAGTTCGTTTTAGCTTTATAAGCTTTCATGTTCCAATGCTTCTATAATAAAAAATCTTCAATTTTTGCCAGAGATTCATTGGAAACTCACAGAAAGGCATTCATTCACTGGAAGCAAGAGTTCTCAACTTAGAACTAGCACTAGATAATATGTGTCGAGATATAGCTTCAGCTTCTGCTTCAGCTTCTTCTGGGAGAGTAGTAATGAACAAAGATCAAGAAGCTCAAATGTGTTGCAGGTTACCAGGCACAGAGTTCTTCAGTCCAAAATTTTGGAGGAGAGCAGAGAGTAGATATACTTCAAGGTTCTTAACTTACAAGCAGGGAGCTCAGTTTGGACTAAGTGGGGGATTCATTAACCCCTTGGCTGAAGCAAATCATCAAACATTGGGTAACACAAGTCGGTATAATGGAACTAAGGTTGTCTAAGATGGCTCTACATTGAAATTTTCTTCTCAACTGAGTATAGGGCTCATAAGGTGAGTTATCATCAAATGTTTACTTGTCATACTTATCTCTTTCAGTAATTTGATCACTCTCTGGGATGACTTTTTTACTACTTTGTAAAAATGTTTTATAGAAAGCAGCTTATTAGGCTTCGTTTAGGACGGCTTTCTTGCTGTTTCTTAACCTTCTTACTGCTTCTTTAAAAAGCAGTAAGAAAGCCGTCTTAAACGAAGCCTTGTTAATATATTTTTTTAAAAACAATGAAAAAATAGTGGTTAAATAGAAATTGTAAAAAGTTGTCCCAAACAAAGTCTAAGGCTTCGTTTGAGACGGCTTTCTTACAGCATCTTAAAGCAACTCTTTAGTACAACAAATAAAATTTTTATACTAAAAAACCGCTTTAAGAAGCAGTAAGAAAGCCATCCCAAACGAACCCTAAATCTAAATAAACTTTGAAAACACATGCCTCTAATCTTTCCTTTATTTCTTTTGAATTTTTCCACACAAAATTTTAACTATTTGCACATACACACTGCAGGTTAAATATGCAAATCATGAGCAAGGATCTTTGTTGATGCAATCTGCAAAAAAATATTTTGCATTTTTTTGTTTTTGGGTTAAATTATTTGTTTGCTATTTATGGTGACAATGAGGTTCTTTTTCTTGAATGCTTCCACCTCACATGCCTCTTGGCTTTGTTACAATACACTCTTTCAAAAGTATTATCAGCAATGCAAAGTGATACCTTTGTTTTAATGTTTGGTCACATGCAGAGAAACAAATATCATTTTTTTCAAGTTTCCAAAGGGACAATTATATCTCTCTTATTAAGGAAACTTTACCATATTTTCTTTTATTTATGACATTCTCTTCCAAAAAAGAAAATATTAAATAAATCTTTAGTTATCATATAGAAATTTCTAAGATTTTATTTTAATAATATTATTCATAAATAGGGCTAATTCAGGTAAAAATAACAACAAATCTTTATCCTGCTACGTGGGATTGGCTAAAGGAAGTTTTTTCCTCTATTGTGATCTATTAAGAATTAAATTGTCACTTAAAATTGATAAAAATAATTATTTTTATATTTTTTAATTGAGTCTTAAAAATAAATTTTATATTTTATATTTGAAGGTTCAATTTGTTGGGTATTATTTGTGACATGAGAGGTCTTTTGAATTCATGTGATATGAAAGGTATTGATTATTGTAAAGATTCTTTTTGTAAAGTTTTCTTATAATATTTGAATATGGCAACACTTTTGCCAAAGTTTCTTTAGAAGAAAAAAAAAACAAGAAAATAATTTCATGGAGAATAAGAAAATGTATAATAAATTTTAAAATAATAATAATTTTATTAATTTTAAAGATTAAGTGTCATATTGGATAGAGTTAAGATTAGGGATTAAATTAAAAAAATAAAAAAATAATTGAAATAATAAGCTTCATTTGTATTATTATATAATAAAATCATATACATTGTTTTATTTTGTCTATTAATTAAATATTTAAAATTAAGTTAACTTATTTTAATTATTTTAAAAGAATAAAATATTTTTTAATGGAGCCTTTATATTAATTAATTACAATATGATTTAAGGATTAGATTAGAAATTAGTTAGATTTTATCATATTCTTGAAAAAAAATATTATAAAAAAATAAATAAGAAAAGTTCATTTGGAAGGGACACTTTTATTGTTTTAATATCTTGAAGTCATGTGATGGCATTGGCTTTTGCAAATGATTCTTCTCTAAAGTTTTCCTATAATATTGACTATGTAAGTTCTTTTTTTTTTTCTTTTTTTTTTTAACTTCTAATAAAAGAACAAAAAAAATAAGCATGAAATAACAGTAGATATTAGGTGTTATATTATAATTTTAAAATAAATATTCTTTTGTTCTTTCATTCATTTTTAGTAAGCTTTTTTATAACATTATTAATGATTCGATAAATATAATCTTGCTCAAAGCTATTCGATCTAATCTTGAGTCTAGTCAATTATGAATATCGATCAGCTCAGTTTGTTCTTCAAGTGATATTCAATATTCATCATGATTAATTTTAAAGTAGATTAGTAATGACTATATCGTTTAAATATTATGATAATATTTTATTAAATTATTAAACTTATATTTGATAATATTTATTTTCAAATTTTTTAATTTAAACTAACAAATTTTTGATATATATAAATTATACTAAATGAATTATAAAAAAAATCAATACTTGAATATTGATTTTCTTAATTTAACTCTCAAATTATTTTAATGTTTAAAGATGTAGATATATACCTTTTTTGTCCTTTCAATATTTAAAGTTAAATTATGAATTTTTTAAAATATTTAGAACAATGATAAAGAATAATTCTTTTCAAACCATTTCTTTATATTAATTATCATGAAAATACATGAACTAGATAATATATTATATATAAATTAAATTAAATATATAATCAATTGTATGAAAATAACCTATTTTTTGTGGCTTTAAATGAGAAAAAATTGAAAAAAAAATAGATATAGTAAAAAGGAGCTCCTTTATTATTATGGTGTTTAGGGCATCTCCAGCGAAGAGTTCTATTTTTCACGGCAAAATACAACAAAACTCCAAAATATCGTGGAGCTGCTCCAATCGAACGCCATATGCGAAGGTAACGATCCTTCTCCCTTTGGTGCGTTTTTTTTCGGTTGAGAGAGCAACATAGCGTAGGTGAACAGTGCGACGCCAATATTGGCGTTGCACTGTTCACCCACAATATTTGGCGTTCAGCTGGAGCGACCGAACGACGCCATAAACTCGTTTGACGTTCGATTGGAGATGCTCTTAGAGCAAAGTTTCTCTCTCATTGTGACTTACTAATATATACAAAAGAGCAACTCATGCTATAAATGAAAGAACTAAAAATATTATCATTATAGTCTAATAATTATATGAATAAGTTACTGTTCAAACCTTACTCAATTTTTATACAGATATTTATTCAAACCTTATCCTACTCAAGATCGAATTCATTCGAAAAATAACAATTTTGACAAAGTTTCTTTAGGGAAAAAAAAAAGAAAATAAATTTTGGAGTTATTATAATGATTTTTAATGATATTTACTAGTGATCATTCGCACTATTGGAGTTATTAGAATTATTTATTGTCATATAAATATTAGAAAATGCAACTTACTATTTTTTAGAAGAATTTACATTTATTATTATTGTAATATGTCCTCTTTATTAAAGATAGTTTATTGATTATATTTTTCCTTAACTTTTCTACCAAACACATGACATGTAATGACATATGAATCACATGGTAGAAGAAAATATTATTCATGTAAAGTTATATAATCAAATGGAACTCAAAGTTAAACAAAATATTATTTAATTTTAAGGTAGAAAAAATAAGTAGAAAAAAGATAGATATAATTTTTAAAATTTAACCCACCGAGGCTTACGATTATTCGGGTCAACCCGAACCCGACCCGCTTCGGGTCCGGATCAACCTGACACGACCGAATGACCTGTTTCCAAAAAAAAAAAAAAAATTAGTCTTCGGGTAAAAAATGGGTTAATATCCTCTTTTTCGGGTAAAAACAGGTCAATCTCGGGTTGCTGGGTCAAAATCAGGTTTTCGGGTCAAAAACGGGTCAATTTCGAGTCAAAGGGTTAACCCGAACTCGATCCGATTTTTGAAACGGGTCGAAATGTTGAACCCGAACCCGACCCGTTTCGGGTTTAGGTTGACCCTAACCCGAAATTTTCAGGTCAGATTTGAGTCGGGTTTTCGGGTCGTGTCAAATATTGACACCCCTACTTACGATGGTTGGTGGGCGAGCACGATTGGGAACCCATCTTAGCTTCGAATCCCCCCACTATGACCTCACCTCTTGTGGGGTAAAGCAAATATGGGCCCGATGCCTGTGGGTGACCTCGCTAGGTATCACTGAGGAATTAGTTACGTCACAAAATATTTCCTTTGGAGTGACAACAGATATGATACCCGTTCAAAAAAAAATTTTAATTCAAATTTTATTTTAATTATTTAATTTTAGTATTTTTCAAGGAGCCATGAGTGATGGATTAGGCTTACTTATAACTTTTGAACCCTAATGCGACAAAGTTGATACATCTTCGTCAGTGCACTGTCGGAGGTAGTCATCTGACTTTCTATGCATTGTACATTCTCTCTCTTCTTCGCACTCTACTAGCGATGGCGATCCCAATCCCTCACCGGCAGCTTTTCATCGACGGAGAGTGGAAGGAGCCAGCAAAGGGAAAGAGAATTCCCATCATCAACCCCGCTAACGAGACCGTGATTGGTTCTTACCATAATATGTTCTCCTCTTTTACTTCGACTATTGAGACCGATCTATCAATCGGTGGATCTAAGTTCTTCTTCTTTCTGATCTTGATTATGTTTGTAGGGGATATACCTGCGGCGACTGTTGAGGATGTTGAGCTGGCAGTTGAGGCCGCTCGCCGGGCTTTCTACAGAAACGGCGGTCGGGAATGGGCGCGAGCATCTGGAGCTACTCGTGCGAAATACCTCCGTTCCATCGCTTCCAAGGTATAAGTTTTGCTCTATCTGTTATTTGGATTGCGTTATCTACTCTTTTTCTTCTGATTTTTTCGCTTTATCGTGCTTTTTATCAGCTGATGATTTGTAGAAATGATGTATAACTTGTTTTATGCGTTTTTGAAACCATATATGAGTCAGATTATAAATTATGCTAGCCAGCTACGTCAAATGGGAAATGTCTCTGCGATCAGTTATTGTGCTCACTTTTTCCATTTAGACGGCGTCATTGCCGTTGGATTTGTGGAAAGAACAAGGCGAGCAGGGAGACAGAGGAAACCAAGAAAGCCAAGAGAATAGAAATTGTATTCATATATCTAAGATAAAGAGTACAGTGGTATTTAAAGACAATACTAGGTAGAAATGTAAATAACTCAATAATACATGTGCTAGTATTCTAATAGGATTAGATAAATTTATCTAAATCATTTCACTTTCTGTTAGTTTATCAATCACCAGTGAGCACTTTTGGTAGGAGTTGGGAAACGACCATTGCTTCCGTAATGCGTTTCTTGAAGCTAGATGTGTCGTTGGTTTAGTTCATGAAATGAGTTATAAGAAAGATATGAACCATATGATTAAAAACTTCACATCGTTATAGAACCATGAATATCCATGAAGTTGATTTTCTTTTAAGTAATTAATGAAATATTAAAAAAGTGAAGTGGGCGAAGTAAGGACAATGAAAGGATTATATAGGGGCATTTATTGTTTTTAAAAGGCATGTGATCAGATTCACATGAATTGATATCATGGTTATTAATTAGGAGAAATGTGTATGTCAAAACTATGTTTTTTTTTTAATTGCTAAACTATGTTAAAATTGCTAAAAATATGCATTGAACTGTGACTAGCATTATAAGTAATTTTGGATTTTTAATTTTTTTTTATTATAATAGGATTATATCCAAGATAATTATAAAGTTTCTATATTTTTGTATACAGCCTATGTTATTTTCATATGATGTTTCTAATTGGGTTGTTTTTTAAAGTGATAAAGTTAGGTCAATGGAGGAAAATTTTTGACGGTAAGGGCTTAAAACTAGTTGAGGAAGTTTATGTAATCTAGCATATGTAAATTGGTAATGA